ATGTACAATATAAAGCCTACATATCATACTAAGTCGGTTCTTAACTCTTTTGCAAATATCCCCTTAACTCTCTATTTCATCAATGTAGTTTAGTCCCATTCTTCTGCCATTTCTGCACAAATTCAGTCATGATTGTCTCTTCTTGAACGAATCTCGGATAAGCTAAACTTACGGCATGTTCTCCTTCCCAGCTAGACCTCCGAATATTAACTAGCTGACAGGCTGTATATCTATAGATATGTATATTCGCCTTATCTCCCGAGGATAGATCCGGGAAATTTACTACAAGTTTATACAAGTTATAAAGACATTTCCAGTAGGGGAGCTTTCGGCCGAAAAGCTAAAGGAAGTTCTCCTTCCTCACTCGACGTCTTCATGGTGCAATTCATAGTACGTCTGGTTTGTAGCTGAAGATCCAGAGCTAGAATCCCAACAAGGTATTTTGTCTTTACTCCATCGATCACTGCACCGGCGAGGTTTATTGCCTGCACTGCGTCAAAAAGCGTAATAAACTCTACGTGTTCATCTACTCATATTATACTTTCTTTCCGAATACTAATAATAACAAAATCACGAACTGGGCAAATGGATTCATAACTGAGGATTAAATGAATTGAGTGCAGGAAGTAATGTATTGAGAAAAAAATTCAGTTTTAAATGCAGCTAAAAAGCCTTGAAGAAGATTTCCTTCTTACAGTTCATTCTGTAAAAGAATTATCTCACTTTTCATGCTTCACGGTAAAAGTGGTTACCACGACCAGCTGAAAAATGGAACACCATAGTTCAAATTCCTGTGACAGTATAGTAGAACTTTTGCGTTTTCTTTTCCTATAAAACCTGATGGTATCTGCATCGGTATCTGAGGAAGGTCCGTTTCCTGCTCCAAAGAAACTTAGTAGTTTCAGTGATCCTACTAACAGCCTTCATTTAAATTACCAAGAAATGGAGTTTTTAATTCATGCGCCACTTAAGCTATCTTTGATTATTTTGAACCCAGAAACTGAAAAAAATATCAGCGATGTTCTTGCCAGAATTCGAATAACAAATCTTCCGATTCCTAGCCAGACGTGCTTCTAATTACACTATGGAAGTATGCGGAAAGGAGTGAAAAAATACCTTACAGAATTTTCGGCAAATTATCTTGCACAAAAATGCCGTAAAGTGGCTACTCAAGAGACTAAGTAGAATTCTCGGTCCAAGTAAGTAGCTGTGCACCTTGCCACTTCAGACAATAACGGAGAATTTTTCCTGGTGTTCTTTCTTGTAAATTATCATGCTTCCAAATGTGAGAATTGTGTGTTTTAAACAAATCGTAACGTACAACCGTAGCTTCATCACTGAATAAGACGCAAGAAAGGATCTGAAAATTTGCTACAGCCGAAAGCAAATTGAGTTAGGCCTTTTTCCCTCATCATGCTTGCTGAACAATCTCGCATTTTTGTATTCATTTCATCTATGAAAATACAGCAGTGGTTTTTTAAAATACTCTACATTTAGTCAAATTTAATAATTTTACTTTTTGGTTTATTTCGCTGCATGTTCTTCTTGAGAAAACTCATCTCTAGTTTGTACCAAATAAATGGTTTTAAAAGCTAACAGCATAAACCGCAACTGAAATTTCAAGTTATATATTACTTGATGTAACAGTACAGGAATATCATCCATTGAAAGAATTTGTCATTAAAGTCAATTTTAGAATTTCCACAAATTTTAAAATTTTTACGTGTCCAACTTTTGGATCACCCTGCAAAAATGGAAGAAGAAATTATATTTTATTAATCCCAAAATTATCATCTACTAAAATGCATAAACAATTACTTAACCCCACTAACCAGCATCTAGCCATACAGCCAACATACCCTGATAGCTGACGATCTTATGGGCAGAAAACGACCAAACCACGTTTGAAGAACAGGGGGAAAGGGTATCAGATATGAATAGCTAAACTTGTATTAACAGGTACACGAGTGATAACGGCGAGGGATGATTTGTAAAAGGTATCAGTGTCATACACAATTAAGGATATATATGTGATATAGACAGAGTGATTCAAAAATATTTGAGAAAATATGAAGGCAGTTAGAACAACCGAAGTAATCAGGTTCTGTAATGTGTCTGCAGAGATGGCGCATTGTAGCGGTACAGCCTGCATCTGAGCTGTAAGTAAAAGAGTTCTGGTGGCGTAAATCGTTATTTACGGAGTGGATTCGAGCTAAATGCATCAATACACGAACGCAGCCGCCATACATTTCATTTCTGCGGCTGCGGAAAGGAGCGGAGCAGATGCTCAAAGGTTATATTCGAGTATCGTTCTCTGCATCTGTAGCTGTTCCGCAACCCTGTAGATAAAATGCATGTTGGGAATCTCCGCTTTTATGTAGTAATGCATCCCAATCGAAAGTCACACGGTAAATGACCATTTACGCCAGCATAGTGCATTTACCTATCTCTCGACAGCACACTGTACCATCTCAACTCGCCATATCCGCATACATATTCCATAATAAAATATGATGGTTTTAATTTTTTATCTGCTTTCACATTTCTGCCAGATACTTATATGTTTGAATTACCCTGTATGCATACATAGCTATATACATAGCTGATATATTAGGATACTGATATTCAAGGCAACACATTTGCTAAAACTGACTGAATGATTTAAGAAACTGTAATATGTACTTAAAAGCATAATGTAATAACATAAGCAGAATAATAACGAGAATAATGCTTTTGCTAACTGGAGGAGAGAGGTATTAATTCATTTCATGGCAAGTATTAGAAAATTATTTTCTCTTAAAATATCAATACATAGAAACAATGAAGTTGACATTCATTAATTGTTTATTATAGTTGTTTATACCCAGTTAGCCTTTTGCGTGAGTCACGTGACTGAATACACAAATATTTTGATATATTACATACAGAATATTGGAATGAATGATGGAACTATGAAACAGCTCTGAGCAGGCAGATTTATATTACTTTTCTTATATACAGTAGTGTCTTCTTATTAATTAAAGTGCTCTTCATCCATACGAGAGAGAGAGTTCATACATTTTTAGAACAAAACTAAATAATAAATTAATAAAAAAATAATAAATTAATAAAAAAATAATAAATTAATCTTGCAATATTTTTAAAATTTTAAACACAGTTTCTGAATTTTCAATGTTATCCTTACTACTGTTTTATCGGACTACATATTTAAATCTTGATTTCCAAAGTATGAGAGTATTTCTCAAATTGGCCGTAATATTTTGCTCCTTGCTTTGCACTGCCCATTAAAAATTTCAGATCTATGTTGAGAATAAGTTATTTTTATCATCCCCACAGCTCAATAATGCATTTATACAGCATCGAAGGATTTTAAATAAAATTAAGCAACAGCTGTATATGTGATATATACACATATTAATCCTCGTCATTTTTCACTTTAAAAATAATTAGTTTGTTGGGTTCCAACCTTAATATAACAGCTAAGTGTGTAGGAACATCATGAACTGATAAGCGAATAATTGCTTTAGTTCAGAAACAACTCAAGGTTAATTACCATGATTGGGAGTTTTAGCATGTTAGAATTATATTTACTGACTTCTTTATAATGATAAAGAACCTCGTTTCAATATAAAACAATTGATGTAATTTTGGTTATACAAGAAGTTTATTGTGCTTTGGTTATACGATATTCCGAGCTTTAATTTTTTTCTAGCATGAGATACAACAAGAATCATAAAACCTTTAAGTGAATTTTTCTTTGAAATCCTGAAACTAAATCTGTAAAATGTTTTCATTAATTTTATAATAATAAATTAATCTTCTTATTAATGTCACTTAGGAGAGCAGATGCTTCCTCAAAAGTCACACTATTTTTCATTATCTTCGACAAAATGTTTTGGTAAAAAATTCGACAAAATGCTCTGTGTTGAGTCACATATTAGGCAAAAGACGGTGAGAATGAGTTTTTCTAAGACATTTTTTTTTTTTTTTTTTTTTTTTTTTTTTTTTTTTTTTTAATGTAACAGGAAGAAAAGGAATGCCTAATGCATTTTCTCTTAATCAGAAATAGTGTTGCTTATTTTGAATTCCGAAATCCTTATTCTATGATTCCCATAGCATATTTTAATTATGTAATAAGTATACTTGCTTAATATATATATATATCTGTATTTAATCTAATATAAAGAATGTCTTTGAAGTAGACATTCGTTATCCTCATTAGGTCATAATTTAGGATTAAAATGATGAGTTATTGCTAAATAATCTTATTATGCTAAATAATAATTATTTTATTTGTTTCACCAAATGCGTTCTCAAACTCTGTGTAAACGACATTTATCAACCATGGTTAAAATTTACTTAATTAAGGATTCTGTAATAATTCATGGTAATCTTGCTAAATAAATAATGTGTAATTTTCTTTTCAATAATTATGTTTTGCGTATTAATGACTATAAAAGTATATTACGTTTAAGCAAATCTTATGTTTAGTTTGACAGACACAAATATCAAATCATTAAGATAAATCCTTTGTAAAGTATTAATATTTGGTCTTGAAGTTTGAAAATAAAATTAGTAAAAGAGAATTCAAGCTAATAACCTTTGATTTGTCTCCTGTGATATCACAACATATTTATCTTTTTTTTTTTTAATTACCGTGTGAGTGTTTGCAAACTGGACTCCATGATATCATTGCATCCGTTAACAATTTTTAAATTAATATTTTTATTATATAACACAAAATTTACAAAGAGGAAATAATCTTTATGTGATACATTTTTATATTTATCCTGCTTTTACGTACTAAAAGGAAAGTTACGATATAAGATTTTCCTCTTAGAGCATAAACCTGCAATGCTGAAAAGTGAATTTATTCCAATTCTCCTAAACCGAAACCTTGAATTAAGAACTCGGATATCTCTTGGCGACAACTTGTTTACCCCTTGGCGAGAAACTCTCCCCTCTATAAACCCAAGTCCAGGAAGCAAAGATGCCGGCACGGAGAACCACATTTGCAGCTTCCACTTTTAAAGTAAGAAGCAAATCATAAGTTTCGCAGGCACTGAAGGAAAATGTGTCACTAGTATCCGGAAACATTCGGATTAAAACAAAGCGTTTTCTGGCATTGTCAAAGAGGAAAATTCATTTCGGAAGTAACTTTTCCTTTTGGGATTTTTTTTCGCTAAGCGATAGTCAGAAATAGGATAGTTTTGCTACCTGTTGTTGACTGTTAGGATCAAAATGTGACCTATCAAAATATTTACCAAATATTTGAACTTGACAAGCAGTGAAGGAAATTATTTTATCTGAAGTTGAGAAAATAGTTTGTACTTAAGTTAATTATTCATTCAAACATTTTTAGAAAATCTAATTTCCGATTGCACTGATTCAATACAGTGCCATACAAAACTCATTGAACATTTTTAATTACGGTAGGTGAAAATTTCAGGAGTAAAGAGTGAAATTATTCTGTATTTATACCAACAGTTTTTCATGATCTTATTATAAATCATTACATCGCACGTCCGTCTTTTATAACAGTCAAACATATTCATATTTCCAAAGGACATCTGAGATTTTGAAATAAGTATTTAATTTATTTAACAGAACTAAAATGAATATGAAAATTCTACTCGTCTTTGCAGTTATTGCATTATTAACAACTGGAGCATTTTCCAAAGATATTTCATCGCTTGAAATTGACGAATCTTCTGCTCCGAAGTCCTTATCGTCTGAGCTTAGCCCTCATATTGAACCATCCGCTGCAAAGAAGGATAACAAGACAAGTGATTCCTTAAGTTCAACCAGCAAAAGAATTGTCAATCATGCTAGAGCATGGAAAGCACTGCACCAGACAAGCACAGTGGCACCTGTTACGACATCGACTACAGCCAGAAGTATGTCTGACAGTGAAATAATTCATGAACGTTGGAAGTCTTTCGAGAAATCAGTGAAAAAAATAATAGAAGGGCGCATGAAGAAGGCCTTGCCGATGTTCTTAAGGATGGGATCGGATGCAAAATTATCAGCGGCATGCTCCAAGAGTATCATGGCTCTGGTTCAAGGAGTCAGGGGAATGAAAAACTGGGCTTTCAGAAGTAAGTCCTTTGATTTAAATTATTTTATGTATAAAAGTGTTTTGTTTGCCGTATGGTCATTTTTAAATTAGGCAAAGTTGCAGCTTTCGAATTGGCATAGATTTTTAATTAAAGAAACTCCAAAAACAAAATAAGATTTAATCCTGCAAAAGCGGACACATATTTGATCACCTTTGAAATCGAAAGTTTTATCCAGAAACTATACCAGTTTAAGTTTACGTTTTAGCCTAATTTGGTGTGTTTCTATTTTAAATTAAGTATTTCCATATCATTTTAATTTCTGCAACTTTATATCTACACTTACGCTATCTGCCCTCTTTTTTCTATATAATTTATATTGATATCTGTTTGTATGATATTGTACATAGCTAACAACTGCATATATCTATAAATGATTAAATGTCTCAAAGGAATTATAAAAATTATTTTAGATTTTAAATATACCCTTCATAAATGTTTTTAAAAAATAAATACAATTCGAAAACGTATTCTCCCGTTTAATAAGCATCGGAATTAAATACATTACTTTATCGATTGCTTTCAAAAAATTAACCGAATTGAATGCTTCTCATATTAGTAAAATTTACACCACTCTTCCACAGCAGAAAGTGAACTTTAGCCTATTACGCCGTTTAATATTAAACTGAACTATTGGCGGAATGACAAAATTCCATTTTCAGAGCGACTAGGTATTTACTATAGCAGGAATGTTGAGAATTCAGCAGTATCGTCGCCAGGATTTAAACTCCGGACTTTCCGATCGTTAGTTCACAATGCTTCCGATTACATCACGAAAGCACACTCTGAGGTAGAAAAAAATTCGTTAAACTTTCACTAGAAATTCAGAAGAGTTATACGAATTCAATATTTCATGATAAAATACTTAAATTTAGATGTTTGGTTTTCATTTTATATCTGACCGAAAATTTCTAGACGACATTTTAAGCAAACCTAACTTGCATTCCCGTTACACATGAGATAATCTCGAAATTTCCGATGCAAACTGCCTGATTATTGGATCTAAACCTGAGTTAAACTGCCAGTGTGCAGTGATTTTACCGTTCCGCAAATGATAGGCCACGTGATATCTAAGAGTGCAGTCTTCTTCAATCATCATATATTAATAAAATAAACGAAAACTAGTGCTTTTATGAATCTTTATAATAGATGTATGATTAAACCAAACGAGCACTAAGACACTAAGAAAAAAGTATAACATTAAAGAAAACTTTCTATAGTAATATACCTAATTTCATCGTATTTTTGTTATATTCATTGCTAAAAATATAGTAAAACGGATAATGAGTAGCATTTTTAATGCCGTAAAATTATAAAACCCTTTCATAATGTCTCTTAAAAGACAATATAGAATTATTCGTACAACAATAACGCTTTTAATTGCTCTTTCATATTGCTGTTACCAGATGTGATGCTATTTTTTACTTCTTAGTAAAGAAAGTATTGAAATCGCAAAAAGTATCGGGTATAATATTTAAACAGAAATATCCATTACGGCCTTTCCCAAATCCATTTAGACGATTTTTTTTGCTTGACGACTGTACGTACGCACAGAATAAAGGACATTTGTTTCTTAGAGATATAGCAAAATGGATTTAAATTGGATTCAAAAGAAAATTTTTCGAGATGTATACATACGTACGTATATATGTATTTATTTCGCATAGCTCAAAAACGATTAGACGTAGAATATACGGCATTGCTATTACGATTAGGCGTAGAATATATGGTTAAAATCAAAAACAATTAGGTATAGAATATATCGAACTGCTATAACATCTTGTGCATCTCTCTTTTTACTGAAATCGGTATTACCCAAACGTATATATATATAAGGGGGTATATATATCCGGCTTAAACGTTCTTATCCGGCCTATATTTTTGCAATTTTGGTCATATTCCGGTTACAGAAGTGTTTTAAATGACGAAATTATTTCAGGTTTTGGCAATGAAAATTTTAAAAAAAATTAATTAATTTTCGACCAGTAACGAAATCTAAATTTAATGCCGTCTAATAATAATAAAATTTAATGCCGTCTCTCGATTTCTATACTCATATTTGGAAAAGTTTTTTACTCATGTAAAAATAAAATTATAAGAAATTCGACTTTCGTAGTTTGACAACGGGATATTTAATTTCAAAATTTGCAATTTTGGATGTCATTTTTAAATTTTTTTTTGAGGGATGAGTTTATTAAGCTAGAATAATTCAAATATGTAATTTCAAATGTAGTGCAGCAAAAATGTAATAGGCTGTACAAGTACGTTGTCTGATGTCCACATCAGATATTTTATCTTCTATTATTTTTTGAAAGCATTTTAAATATTCTTTCCTACCTAATGTTTGTTCTTGGTATGAACAAATGTTTAGATCACAAAAAAATTTAATCTGTGATTTTTTTTTTTTTTACAAGTGCATGTGAGGGAGTATATTTTCAAATTGATTTCGGGGAATTACATTTTGTTTGAAAAAGCTATTTCCGGACCGTTAATATCTCTTTAACTGTTAATTTCAGATGTTTCAAATTAATTTTTTTTTTAATATAAAATGCAGAAACTAGAAAAGTACTTTCACTTTGCGAACAAGGCAGGTTCTGAAGAAATAGTGAAAAATGCAGTCAAAAGTTCTTCTTAGTAAAATTTTATCACTCTTATTTAGGTGTGGTGTGGTGTATTTAATTATGGCAAAGCACACTAGGGCTATCTGCCTAAGGGGAGGGATGCCTTCGTGGAGGACTTTCTAAGGAAACTGGCTCGTATACACGTTACACATGGGGAAAACCACGAAAACGCCCATGCAGCCAGCCCGTTCGCGGGATTCGAACCTCGGACCAAACTACCAGTGTTCAGCGACTTTACCGCTCGGCCGCTGGTGGGCCACTCTTATTTAGGAAAAAAAAATAAATAAAAGATTTTTGTGTCAAAGTGATATTTAAATAAAATTCCACACATACTAGTCCACTGCTAAATTTAAGATTGCATCCAGCACATTTAGGAGCAGATAAAAACGAAAACATTGCTTTATTACTCAAGAATTTTATCTAGAAAAAGGTTAAATACTTTATTAAACTTGTATCTATATGTCTTATCTTTAGTAATTCTTAGTATCAGAAGTAAGTCCGCAAATTTTACGAATCTTTAGCGTCTTGCTAACACAAGTTTTAGCCACACGCACAGTTAAACTGTTTGAGCAAACTTAATAGATTATTTGGTGATGATTTCTCAGATTATGTTACCTACATTTCAATTTTACGTTATTTCATGTTTATTTAGACCCCCACAAGCAGCGGAAGTTCATCTGTCACACAAAATGTGTCTTTCTCTTCATTTAAGAATTAAATGGAAATGTTATTTAGTACATACGTATTATCCCGTCGACTGGCCACGTAGCACAATTTAGCGCCAATTATAGATGATCGTGTCCTTTAAAATTCCACAGTAACGATTTGTGGCGACCGTTGTCAAAATTTCCGCCAAAGGTCGGCCGGATAATACGTAAGCACCGGTTATTTTCACCTTCCTCAGGATTCTGTGATTTGTTTCAGACTAAGCGATAACTTGCTATCAGTTTAGTAGCGTCTGCTGGGCTTTGAAACAAGCTTCTACGTACGATAGAATCTATAAAACATTACACTCACTAATTATTAATTCGCATTCTTTAGCGTGCTAATTTTATATAAACCAGTTTATAATTTGTTAATCAGTTTATAATTTAAATAAACCAATTTATAACCTGAAATTACCAGTTTCAATGCTAGTATCATTGATTTTTAATCACGGAAAATTAAAATGTGAGAAAAACTTCTCGTAATATTAAAATATTAATCTTAAAATTAGACCAGAAAAGAAAATTAAAAAAAAACTTTAAATGGCATGAAACAATCTTGCTCCTTAAGGAGAAGAACCTATATGTAATCATCCCCGAAATCGACAAAGTTTTATACAAAATCTATTCCAACCGAAGTCCATCTGGTCATCCTCAACATCGACAGGATTTTATAAAAAAAAAGTATGCCAACCTAGAGCTGCTGCCTTTTTCTTTTTCATCTTAATTTTAGTTTTTACTCTGCCGTGTTTCTTTTCCAATTTGATATTAATATTGGTTTAAAATTAAATCTGTAATATTGACACTTAGTAGAGACATTAAGTTATTTTAAAGCAGGAGACATGAAAAATGAGTAATGCCCTCGCAGGGACTCGAACCTCGGACCTCTCGATTACTCGCCGAGCGTACTGACCATTACACCAGAAAGGCATGCTAAGAAGGGGGAAGAAATACCTTATAACATCAGGATATTTCATAAGTTCCCTCCTAAAATAAAATAAAAATGTTTCCGTTGGGGAAATTATTTACAACCGTTAACTTCAATGTCATTTTAATAAAAATGCAATGTACATTTTAACTAATCGATATTTAGACTCCACAGGAGCAAATACTTTTAAGTAAACCTAAGCAGGTAATATTTTTAAGTAGCATGAAGTATTGATGCGACTAAACTATCATGTGATTTTTAAGCCACCAGGAGGCAAGCAGTTAAGTTTCTGAACACTAGTAATTCGAATTCATTTCAAATTCCGGCGAATGATCTGGCTGCTATGGGCGTCTCCGTGTTTTTCCTCATTGTAACGGATATGAAATAGTTTTCCTTGGTATGTGTTATCCATTGTCATTAGTTTTCCTCCTCATGTATAATGGATATGAGTTAGTGCCTCTTTCACGAAAGCATCCCTCGCTTTTAGTGTAACAGTCTTTGCATTAACCATAATCAACCAAACTAAACCAGTTTGGTTGTTAAAATCTTAATTGTTTATTTATTTGATGTTATACAAACAGAAAATTTTGTAGCTTACATGTTACAGTGTTGCTATTCAAATCTGAAACATCGTAATCTTAATTTAAATGGAAAATAATTTTCCTGCTACAAAAAGAATCTTTAAAAGGACGAAATGTGTCTCCAAGAACAGTACATACAAATTCAACA